TCTAAGATGAGTGGACTGTATGTTCGGGCCGGACGCGCGCCTCCAATGAGGACATACAGTACTTCTGGACGCCCGAAATGGGTACGGAAAGAATGGGTACGATGCCCAACAGCAGTTCCTGTTCATGTTGAACAGGGCTCGCTGTCCGCGCCGCCGCGGCCTGTGTCCATCTGAGACAGAGGGCCGCCTGCCCAACAGCGGCCGCTGTTGGTTTGGGACAACATTTGTTGCTGGGCATTGTGCCCATCTTTTCCGTGCCCATTTCGGGCGTCCAAAGTATTAGTATGTCTTTGTGCGTCCTGTGAGGGTGCGCTCCCTGCTTCCCACGCGTGCCCGCAGCGCCTGCATCGGGGGAGAAAAGCCCCGTTCCAGGAGGGAATGTGGAGCGAGGACCTGGGAGATGGGAGGAGGACGAGAGGGAGGAGGAAAGGATGAGGAGAAGAAGGACAGCGAGGGAGGAGGAAAGGGAGGAGGAAAGGGAGGAAGGAAGAGGAAGGACAGCGAGGAAGGACAGCGAGGAGAGATGACAGCGGGAAAGGGAAATGGAGGAACGATGACAGCGAGGAAGGGCAGATGAGAGGGAGGAGGAAAGGGAGGATGGGAGGATAATATGCGAGAGAAGGGTCGATATAATGGAAAGGACGGATGATGACGCCCGGGAGCTATGACCATAGTTCCGATCACCTTGTTGCGCTATACGAGCAATTGCGCCAATTACAAATCGCTCAAATCATCACCATCATCTCCTTGCCCACTCCATAGTCGTCCTCATTCCCCCCTCTTTCATTCTCCTCTTGGGCAGTTTGTGTTTGTTTTCCTTTTTGTCAAGCCGCTCCTCAAGGTTTTTAGGTGGTGTCTGCAATCCCCAAGTGCTTGACGACTTTTCGCCAATCGATTTGCCGGGTCAAGCCAGATAAATCGAGGCACATCCAAGTCTGTGGAGGCACGCCCGTGTCAATCTACGTACATCCAGAGATCTCCAGGGACATCCGAAGCAAATCGTGGCGCTCCAGATCGAGCCGACGGCAGACGTCGTGAAGCCCGCAACGATGCAAGATGCGCCGGAGGACCAGGGAGAGAGATGGACGCCCCCAGCTTGTTCCGTTGTGACATGCCCGCCCCCTGGGGATCTCTCGGCGGCGCACCCGGGGGGAAGTGAGACGGAGCGGGACTTCTCAGAAGGCTGGGAAGCCCCCCCAGGGCCTTCTGAGGAGTCTCCCTGTCGTCCAAATCCGCCTGTAGGGGGACATGCCCGACCTAAACCCAGAGGCCGTTCCCTGACGGGCCCGCGGCCCGGAGCAGCCCCACCGGGCGGAGGCGACGAGAGCGCCCGCAGGGCCGCCCGTGGTTGCTGCTGCCGGCGTCGCCTGGGCCCGAGGGACGAGGGTGAGCTTCCTCCCCGCCGTAGCTCGAGGGTGCCGCAGCCGGCCCTTCGCCGACCACCAAGACAGTCGCGCTTGCGTGCGCTAGCCGACCACCAGCCGGCCACTGCCTCAGAGCCCCGAGTCATCAGGGGTAGCTCGGGTCAGGGCTGACTCGGGTTCGTTTTTCGGGAGTCCGAACCCGAGTTATCCCAGACTCGAGTTACCCCGGATATTTCGGGCGTCCAGAGCCCCGAATCATCAGGGGTAACTCGGGTCAGGGCTAACTCGGGTTCGTTTTTCGGGGGTCCGAACCCGGGTTATCCCAGACTCGAGTTACCCCGGATATTTCGGGCGTCCAGAGCCCCGAATCATCAGGGGTAACTCGGGTCAGGGTTAACTCGGGTTCGTTTTTCGGAGGTCCGAACCCGAGTTATCCCAGACTCGAGTTACCCCGGATATTTCGGGCGTCCAACTACCAGAGGCCGTTCGCGTGCACGAGCCAGCTTCTGGCTGGCCATCTAGATCATCGTGACTGCGTGCACTGCAGCCGGCCACTATGAGGGCCCCGGGGCCCTCGGAACGTATGGTTGGAGCGATGCGGCCGTCCACAGTCAGAGCAGACACATCCTGGACTACTGACGGGCCTTCTCGGGTGTGGGCTCGGGACGGGGCGTGCCCTAGCCGGCTTCTATTCATGGGCGGGGGCGTACCTTGGCCGGCCTCTATAGCCGGCCTCTATATTTGGGCGGGGGCGTGCCTGAGCCGGCCTATAGCCGGCCTCCATTTTCGGGTGGGGCCTTGCCTTGTGTTGTTCTTGTCCGGCCTCTTCAGAAGCCTGAAGCTTAAGAGCATAAGCCTTACGCCTTAAGCCTGAAGCCTTGTCTTGAAGCCATCTGAGGCCCCTAGTGTCCTGAATTGGGCGTTGTTTGAGGCTTCCATCCCAGGGTAGCGGCCACTGCATTCCAGAATCCCAAGTCGGGCGGGCATCTCGGCAATGCCCTCCCGAACGCTGAGTCCTTAGCCCCCCCCGCTCCTGATTCTCCCCCGCCTGTCTCCCGTTCTCCCTCCCTGCCGCCATTGTCGCTTCCCTCCTGACCTCCTGACCCCCCTCCCTCCTGGCACCCCTCCCCCCTCACTCCCACTTTTCCCTCGCCACTTGCTGCCCTTCCATGGGGGCGGGGGCCTGGACGATGCTGTTCGCGCTCGCGGGTCGCCAGGGCCAGGACCCCATGACCCCGAAGGCATCCCCAAATCTCGCCCTCGCCGACCTCGCGCTTTGAGGATGGTGCCCCTCGCCGATCTCGAGCATTCGAGTTTCAGTCGTCGAGTTTGTCGGATGCTTCGATCATTGTTCGACTATTTTGGAGTATATTCCCTGACCATTTTAAAAATTTGTCGTCCAAGATGGGCCTGTGGGGGGACATGCCCGACCTAAGCTCAGAGGCCGGCCTCGTGCGAGTCTTTGGAGGTTCGTGACCAGTGCTCCCGGGACAGAGTCCACCCGGGCGAGACCCGGGTGCACCCGGGCGAGGCCAGGGCGAAACCAGAGACCCCGGGGTGGGGACCCGGGCGAGACGGGCGCCTCGCGAGTCCTCGCCCTTGCAATGTCTTTACTGGGGCGTTTCCGAGCTCCAGCCATGCCCCGACGGAGGCTCGCCGCGACCGGGCGGGCCCCCCGTGCGCCCCCCGACGGGCGCGCCCGCCGCGCCCGGCCCTCGCAGACCCTGGGGCCGCCGGTGCCTTGCCCAGACCCTGGGCCCGCACAGAGATTGAGGGGCCCGTTGTCCACCACCACCACCGTAAGTTGGTGGGGGGAGGAGGAGGAGGAGGAGGAGGAGGAGGAGGAGGAGGAGGAGGAGGAGGAGGAGGAGGAGGAGGAGGAGGAGGAGGAGGAGGACCCACTCCCCCTCCTACTTCTGGTGGTGGTGGTGGAAAACAGGCCCACCAGAAATCACCCCTGCTGTACCGCCGCACGCCCCCTGCTCTGGACGACCCAGGGCTCCAGGCTTCAGGTTCTAAGAGCTAAGCCTGTAAGCTCTGAGCTCTAAGCTTCAGGTTCTGAGGTCTAATTAGGACCTAGGAATCTAGCAGCCAGGAGTTAGGCGTCTGAGCTCTAGGCATATAGGCATTCGGGCATCTGGGATCTAGAATCATGGCCATAGGCCGTTTATGCTCGAGGCTCTAAGCCCCGCCAGCAGTACGCTGCACGACGTCGATGGCGCAGATAGCGGATACCAAAACGCCTTTGTAAGGTTGTGAGCACGCTAAGATTGCATTGGGGTTACCCGATGAGTGCTACGTGTGTTAGAAGCGATGTCGTGGTTGGGGGGATAGGTTCAGTAAGCCTTTTTGGACGCTGCGATTAGCGTTGCCTGGGTGCCATCATCAGCATCAGCATCATTCTCATCAGCAGCATCATCATCATCATCATCATCAACATCAGCATCATCATACGCATCAGCATCCGCACCAGCATCAGCATCAACATCAACAGCATTATCATAAACATCATTATCATCACCATCATCATCATCAACATCATCATCATCGTCATCATCACAATCATCATAATCATCATCATCAGCAACAGCAGCATCAGCATCAGCATCAGCATCAGCATCATCATCATCATCATCATCATCATCATCAGCATCAGCATCAGCATCAGCATCAGCATCATCATCACCACCATCATCGTCGTCGTCGTCATCATCATCATTGTCATCATCGTCCTCATCATCACTATCACTATCACCATCATCATCGGCGCAGGAGAGGGGGCGAGAGGTCGTAGGACTTGGGTCGTCCCTCGAGGTCCAGGAGGAACGCCCTGTAGCACCGGAGATCACTGGAGGTCCCGGAAGGCCCCTTGAGGCCCCCGCAGTCCACGGAGGCCCTCAGAAAGGCTCGTCGGAAGTCCCGATAACCCTTGAGCCCAGAGCCTAGCGTATAGAGCCTCGAGACTTAGAGCCCTAAAAAAGAGGTGGCGTACGAGGAGAAGCAGGAGGACGATGAGGAGGGGCCGATTGGCGTTCCCGAAACGATCGCCATATTGAGGCGTGGCAAATTCAGGGTTACGAGCCTCCTCCTACTCTGGACACCAAAAGTCAGTGGGCGTCCTGGGGTCTCAGGGTTGGGTTTCCTGTGGAAGGTTTCTTGTGGTCGGGCCCCCTATCTAAAACGGAAAAGCGGCGCACGGTAAAAACGATACGAATACAGCCAAGACACTGAAATAGGGACCGCTGTGGGTTCGGACGACGCTCGCTGTTCCCTGGGCCTCTCCGTGGTGATTCTTCGAGCCTTCCTCGTGCACCAGGGCGCTTCTGGGGCCAAGAAGAGGCTCTGCTCCTTCTGTAACGTTCCTTGTTTCGGGGGTGGACAGATACCCCAACAGTGACATGTCGATTAGTGAATTGTCCGTTTTCGGTTCTCGAGAGGGCGCCGCGGCCGTCATTTTCCAGGCCTGCGCCCGCCGGGTTTGGGCCTCAGGTCGTTTTCACAAAACCACGTTTTACTAAAAGGAGGTCTGTCCATCCCCGATTGTTGCAGCAGCCTGGCTGTAGGGAGGCCCCCTACTCTCCTCCCCCCTCCTCCTCCAGCTCCCCTCCCCCCCCCCTCGCCGGGCCCCCCCGCAAGGAGCCCGAGCGGCCCGGCAACGCCGTGGACTACATCAAGAAGTATCTGGGTGCGCCCACGGGCGTGGACGTGGAGGATGCCTCCCCCCCCTCTCAGTCTTCCTCCTCCTCGTGCTCCTCGTCGTCCTCCTCCTCCTCCTCCTCCTCTTCGTCCTCCTCTTCCCCCACCTCCTCCTCCCCCCCCTTCTACTTCTCCGCCTCTTCGTCCTCCTCTTCCCCCTCCTCCTCCTCCTCCTCCTCCTCCTCCTCCTCCTCCTCCTCCTCCTCCTCCTCCTCCTCCTCCTCCTCCTCCTCCTCCTCCCCCCCCTCCCTTGAAGTCAAAGGCAAGATGACAAGCCGCACCCAGCTAGCCAAGCCCATGGCGAAGCTAGCGGGGCGATGGCCGCGAGCCGAGACCATGGTGAGGCTCACGGTACAATTGCCGCTACCAGGACCCTACACAGTGGCATGAGGGTCAAAGTCAGTGGCCGTTTGGTGACATCTGGTCCTGGCAAGCGGCGTGGCCGCCCTCGCCTCTCCACCATACCCTTGGGCCTGCGCGGCACAGTGCACAGCGTCGACTTCATGGTGGGAGGCTTCGGCCATACAGAGGAATATGGTGCTCTTGTCGACTGTCACACTCCGTACCAGTTTGCAGGTTGCTCCATGACCCTCCACCCACGGAGCGAGTGACAACGTCTCTCTCCGATACGAGGTGCTTGCTATCCCTCGGTGTTCCCGTTTGGCTGAGCGATGCTTCGTGGTTGTGGGTCACACGAAGCAGGGCGGGCTTTACGTCCTCCCCGTCACTGGCGTCCCCGTGTCGCTCTCCTGCTTCATGTTCGGCGGGTTGTTCTTCATCCGCGTTTGGGCCTTCCTCCGCGTGTGGGTCTACCTGCCCCTGGACTGCTTCATCCACAGGTGGTCCTCCCTTCACACTTTCTTTTACCTTGCCCTCTGCGCTACCATGGCGCGAGGGCGCCACGGTGTCGCTCGTCGTTCGCGGCCGCGGCCGCTCGGGGGACACGCGTGAGGCGCTGCGCTCCTCTTCCTCCTCCCTTTCCTCATCTTCCTCTTCCTTTTCCTCCTCCCTTTCCTCCTCGTCCTCCTTCCCCCCCCCCTTCTCAGGGTCCTTTCCGATCCGACCGATCCGATTCGATAGCGGTTTTGGCCAGGCCGATCTGATTCGATTCCTCGAAGAAAAAAGATCGCTTCCGATTGCGCCGCCTGGCGGCGCCTCCGGCGCCCTAGGGCCAGGGGCCCCCGATTGGGATGGTCGTGGGCTCCTGGGAGGTCCAGTGGAGTCGGGGGCCACGCGGATCCAGCCGAGATCTTGCAGCTCTCTGGGAGGCTACGAACCGCGCAGCTGTTGCTACTAAGTGGGTTCCTGCGGGGCATGGCGGAGATGAGGGCAGCCCTGACCGTGCACATCTGGCGTTGCGTTCTCTTGTATGGGGCTTTCGTGCAACAAGTCGCCTCGCCTCGGGAAGGGGCTGGGCCCGTCTTGGGCGGTTGGGATTCCGGCAGGCTTGCCTCGATGCGCGGGCCATATTTGTATCCATATCCAGGGCGTTTTGGACTGTCTCGTGGGCGGGACACCGCAAGGCCGAGGCGCACTGGATATGGATAAAAGTTCGAGCCTCTAGTAGGGGCTCGATTTTTGTCCATATCCATTGCTTCTCGGCTTTCAGGGGAAGGGAGCCCGAAACCCCAAGCTGCAGTGGATATGGACACAAGATTTGCCCGCACGATGTTCGCGTCGTGGAAAAAATGGCGACGGGAGGTTTTTGGTAGGTTCTGGCCTTGGGGGGCCGTCGCCCGGCCGCGGGACCGTCAAGCAACGCCCGAGACGTGCCCATTCCCGCACGGCGACAGTTTTTAAGACCGCTCCACGCACAACAACGCGCTGCGAGATAATGAAGCGCCCGGAGATTCTTCGCCAATTGAGGTGGGGCCACGCGCGTCGCACACGTGCGCAGGAGTGGGCCACTGACGACAGCGCCATGCGATACGTGACGTTCTGGCGCTCCGTGCTCTGTGATGCAAAAGTGCCGCGCATTCAACAACGCGACGGCGCCGTGCGCCGTTTTGGCACGCGCCATGTGGGCGCATTGCTCTCCGCCGTGCCTCCCAGTAGCCAGCGAAACTGCCAAAAGTTGCGCAGCTCGTAGCTCGCAGCCCTCAAGGGGAGCCGTGAGGGCAGCGCAGACTTCGGTGCCCTCATGCCTGCCAACAGCCCACGCTCGCACTTCACAGACCCAGCGTTGACACGAGTTCTCGGGTGGGTCTGCGTGTAACTCCATTCCAGTGGGCTTCACAGGGGCCCAAGAGTGGCGACAGTTGCGCAGTTCGCAGCCCCCCGAGAGACGCGAGGTCTCGATTGGGTTTGCGTGTAACTCCATTCCGTTGCGCCTCCCAAGTGCTTCTGAAAGTGGCCACGATGGCACAGTTCGCCCCCTTCCCCCCAGGGAAATTCGAGATTTCCGTTAGTATTGCTGGTATCTCAATTCCGCTGCGGTTCCCAAGAGCCCAGACAAATGTTTACAGGTGCGTAGTTCGCACCCCCGCATGGAGCCGCGAGGTCTTGGTTGGGCCTGCGTGAAACTATTCCGCTGGGCCTCCCACGAACCCGCGACAATAGCGACAATTTCGCAGTCCCCAGCACCCCAGGGAACCGCGAAGTCTCGGTTGCGTTTGCGTGTAATTCCGCTGCGTTGGGCCCCCCCCCCAGGAGCCCACAATAATGGCGACAGTTGCGCAGTTCGTAGCCTTCGAGGGGACCGCGAGGTGTCGGTTGGGTTTGCGTGTAATTTTATTCCGTTCCGCAGTTTGCATGTTCCCGAAGAGCCGTGAGAAGGATGAATAGCGAGAGTTGCGCAGTTCGCAGCCCCTCACGGAGCCGCGAGATGGATGAACAGGAATGAAAAAGCAGGACGAGGAGGGGGATGGGGATGATGATGATGATGATGATGATGATGGTGATGATGATGATGATGATGATGATGATGATGATGATGATGATATTGATGATGCTGATGATGATGATGATGGTGGTGATGATGATGCGGATGCTGATGATGATGATGATGATGATGAGGAGGAGGAGGAGGAGGAGGAGGAGGCTGAAGGAGCAAAAGTGGGGGACAGAGGATGGAGACAACAAGGGCAGGAGACAGGAGGGAGGGGGGGAGAAGGACTTGGAGATCAAAGTGCTCTTTTCAACACGTCTGCCCCACCATAGGAGGGATGGGAACACTTCTAGAGGAAAAGCCGGTCCTGGGGAATGGGTCTGTATTTCTAGAGGTTCACGTTCTGAGGAAATCTTGACGTCGTAAGTTCGAGACGTTAACTTGCATGGCATTTCGCTCCCTTCGGCCGCCTGTTCAATCAGCGCGGACCCGAAAAGGCGCGCAATCTAGGCTTCTCAAAGGGGGTCCGAGTAGTTGGGGTCGGAGGATCGTGCCGTATCATCGATGCATCGCCGATGCGTCGGCGATGCGGCTCGATGTGGAGCCCGCGCCGACGTCGCGGATGCATCGCTGATGTCGCCGATGCATCGCCGATGCATCGCCGCATTGCCGATGCAGTGGCGATGCGGCTCCATCTGGATCCTGCTTTTCTCCACGCCGACGTCGCGGATGCATCGCCGAAGTCGCCGATGCATCGCCGATGCATCGACGATGCGGCTCGATGCGGAACCCGAGTTTCTCCCCGCCGACATCGCGGATGTATCGCCGACGTCGCCAACGCATCGGCGATGCATCGCCGCCGCATTGCCGACGCATCGGCGATGCGGCTCGATGATGAACACGATTTTCTCATCGCCGACGTCGTGGATGCATCGCCGACGTCGCCAATGCATCGGCGATGCATCGCCGCCGCACTGCCGACGCATCGGCGATGCGGCTCGATGATGAGCACGATTTTCTCATCGCCCGCGTCGCGGATGTATCGCTGACGTCGCCGATGCATGGTTGATGTATCGCCGGTGCGATGCAGTCTTCCGAACCCATCTGGTGGGCCCCATCTGGCTGGCCGCTTCTACGCAAGCGAGTGTCGTCTTTGAGTGAAGTCCATCTTTCCTCTCGAGCGTCGCCGCGCACCCCCACTCAGTGCAAGAGGCAGCTGTTCTCTTGTCTCTAGCAAGCTTACTTGCATGGAGGGGGGGGGACGGTGCGACGTCTATTCGACGCGGGTTCTGCCGCAGGGGCAACAGCGGCCCCTCGCCGACGGCGAGGCTGGCGTGCCCCGGGCACGCGCCGCCCCGCCCAAGTGCGGGGACTATTTTGAAGTATTTTTGATGATTCATTTGCTTACGCCGCACCGACGACCCCTTGGGGCGGCAGCAAGAGTGAAAGACGGAGTTCGCAGAACGCGCGCGATCGTTGGGCCATCCTGGGGTTTCGGCCTGTCCTACGTAGCGTGTTGGGTTCAAGGGGGGGGCTTGAAGGGGGTTGTTTTGAAGTTTTTCGTGGTGTTCTGTAGGTTTTTTGGGGCCTTCTCGGGGCTTGTCCCAGGCCTCCTTTTCCACCCCCTGGATAGGCTCGGGGATCGCTGAGGCCCAGCTGGGGGTGCGTCCGGCCAGAAGTTCGAAAGTGGACCCAGCTGTGTCGATGAGGAGCTTCTTGAAGGCCCAAGGGGGGCGGAGAGCGCCCAAGAAATAGGAGTCTCATGCCTCGAGCCTCGATCCACCCCGTATTCCTTCCTTCGCGAAGGGGTGGCACCGGCCAGGGAGGTCGATCCTCATCCCAGACCTTCGGTGGTGGTCCCAGGCACCGAAAACGGCTCTTGGAGGCTGAATTAGAGGAGATGCTTCAGGTGGTCGAAAGACAACGAAAATCTGCGAGATATTTGCGGCGACGACGAAGTCTTTATCTCTGTTACTCTTCCTCTTCCTCCTCGTCCTTCATCTTCTTCTTCTTCTTCTCAATCGAGGGTAGATGCCCGCGGCAGTTCCGGCCGCCTTTTCAAAGATTTTTGTCTGAACTGTTTTTGTTTTTGATTGGTTTCGGTCTCCAGGGGCCGTTGCTGGGCCCCAGGACTTTCAAAACCGGACGGACATGGGGCGAGAAGTTGCATCGGCGGACCCGGGGAGAG